ATCTATTGGATGTTGGGCAGGGGGGAGGAGGGAGGAGGTGACGGGTATTTGCATACACAAGGAGTGCAATGTGCACCACCCGAAGGATGGACATATTTGAAACTCGGACTTGGGGGTCAGGGGCAAGGGCAACATACGTAACCTAAACATCTGTACCCCCATAATATGCTGAAATAAAAACTAAATAAATAAATAAATTACAACTAACATTTATTGAATACTTACTGTGCATAGGCATTGTACTAAGTGTTTTATAGCAACCTTAGTTAGATACTGTTAACTCCATTTTCTAGATGAAGAAACCAAGGCACAGAGAAGTTAATTTGCCCAAAGACAACTAACTTAATATTAAGTGGCAGAGTTGGGATTTATTATGCAATTTACTTCCATAGCCTGTTAGCATGAGAAAATTTATGTCCATAGCATAGAAAAAAAGGTACATGTTAAAATACTGACTAAGAAAGGAGAAGGAAAATTAAATGTTTGGATTTGTGGAATGCCAAATAATGGATTGAGAATAAAATTAAAAATAGAACTGTCAACGAATATCCTTTCTCTTTGACAAGTGATGAAAATGATGGTTGCTTAATGTATTTTTTGCCATCATTAAGAGTTCTTTACAGAGAGCTGATTATTAGCAAAAGCTCTATTGTAAAATTAGAAACAGTGAGAATGGTTTGTATTCTATCTGATAACAGAAGAAATTGCCACTTGTAGATCAGTATTTAAGAAAAATGCATTTTGCTGACATCCCCGTTTTTTGGGTATCATCTGGGTTCTTAGGCTTCTATTGAGTGTGATAAACTTCCAGAATTATTTTGGATTGTTGAAATTTAAGATTCTTAAGCTTTCATCAATAATTATGATACCATGGCAGCTATTTCAATGATGTCTGCTTTTTATTCTAAACCCATAGATTTTGTTTCTTGTTAAAAGAAACCTGCTCTTTGGCCTTTGAGTGGGTTATTAGTGTAATAAGCAGTTGCTCTGAATGATATTTCTTATATTATTGTATAAATAAGACCAAATGCCATCCTGCCCAATATTTTCTCTCTGGCAATGGAACCAAGGGATGTTTGGTGGGATATTTTTATAGCTTCCTGTAGAGTTTAAAGATGATACCTCAAAATTTCTAAAGATTCTCTCACCTTTAATTATTTATTTTTAGGTGAAAGATTCCTAATATACCTATATATAACCCTTTATTTTTCCAGAAAGACACTTAGTGCTCAAGATAAAGCTGAGATTGGTAGAGCAAGCGTCAGTATCTGGGGGCAGTCATTTTCTGTATTTTGCGGTCTTCTCTAATCTGGTGCTTTCCTATTGCAGTGATTTGTCCAAGTGCCGGGAGTGGTGGCCAGCCTGACAATAGCTCTATGATTTTCTATGCCAATGACACGGAAATCCAACTGTTTGAAAAGTGGTGGAATAAGTCCAAGACGGTGCCCTTTTACCTTGTAGGACTCCTCTTGCCACTGCTCAATTTCAAATCTCCTTCATTTTTTTCAAAGTTTAATATCCTAGGTAAGTTGTGCCACTGAGTTACAGAGCCTTTGTGTAGTAGATTACATGGTAAATTCTGTGGAAATATGGTCTGACTGGGGAGAGGATTACCTTCCAGGCCTATTCATCTGTGTTTCATTGTTCATTCATATGGTCTGCTGGTTTTTGTTTTTTGTGGAGTTTGGCACAGAGAAAAATGTAGGTGACCATTTCAAGTCCCTTTTTGTTTTTGAGACATGAGTTGTTTGGTTTTCCATTCTAACCTTACTGAACAATTCTTCCTCATTTCCTCTGTGGGTACAACTGGAGGAAATAAACTAAAATTTCAGGAGGAGAGATCCAAATTGGCTATTATAGGAATTCTCAATTCTAATGATTGCTAACATTAGAACTTACTCAGGGAGGTTATAGAATATTTTTCCTATAGTCTCTATTTAAGAGTATGAGACAGAATTATCATCTGACTTTGAACCTGGGTGATCATTCTCCAGCTCAGGCTTCTTAGGTTTATTCTGCTTTTGCTCTCTTCCTCAGTGCTTTTTTAGAACACTATTGCCTTCTTAAAGGAACAGACCTCTTTCTGTGAGCTCTGTTTTTCAGAAATCACTAACGGGATATTTTGACCCTATTTAAGATGACAAAAGGGACGGGCA